CTGTGGTGAGCTGAGATTACACCATTGCACTCCAGCCTGGGCAACAAGAGCAAAACTCCATCTCAAAATAATAATAATAATAATAATAATTTAAGTATTGTGCTTTCTTATTGTACTCCTTATCTGATAATAATGAAACTTTAGAAAATAAACACTTAACATGAATGTCATTAACATTTTAGCATGGCCCATGATGACAAACTAGTTCTTGGGAAAACTTAAAATAGCCTAGTGTCTTTTGTAGGCTATTCATAAGTTCCCAAACCTCACCTGACAAATATTTTAAAATTATCTGGAATATTTCCAATGGTAAGGCTTTAAAATTTCCAAATGTTGATATGGGTTGAAAGCCTGAGCCAAGGGTCTTGGAACAACAGCTGGTTTGACGATTACTACGTCTAAGTTTCTGGTTGGGAATCAAAGTGAAATTGGTATTTATTCTGGATGCCATTCTTCTTGTCTCATAAATTTATCCTGGTCAGAAAAACAAAATACAAGAGACAAGAAAGAAAGGAAGTTAAAGCAAGGAAGAGTTTTTTTTTGTTTTTTGTTTTTTAACAAAGAGGTTGATAGTATGATATGCAATAGCTGTTTCTCCGTATTTACAAAAGATTTTTGGGTTTTTTTTTTTTTTTTTTGAGACGGAGTCTTGCTCTGTTGCCTACGCTGGAGTGCAATGGCGTAATCTCAGTTCACTGCAACCTCCGCCTCCCGGGTTCAAGTGGTTCTTCTGCTTCAGCCTCCTGAGCAGCTGGGATTACAGTCAAGCGCCACCATGCCCAGCTAATTTTGTATTTTTAGTAGAGACAGGGTTTTGTCATGTTGGCCAGGAAGGTCTCGAACTCCTGACCTCAGGTGATCTGCCCTCCTCAGCCTCCCAAAGTGCTGGGATTACAGGCATGAGCCACTGAGCCTGGCCCCACTTACTTTATTACAGCTAAAATTTAAATAGTTTTAAAGTCTCTATTTTCATCTCTTTTTTTATTGTTTCGAACAAAAAAACTCAGTACTCAGTTTTAAAGAAATAGAAAAACATTACTATGAAATTTTAAAGCTACATTAATATTTTGACTTTTTAAAAGAATATATGCTGGGTGTGGTGGCTCATGTCTGTAATCCTAACACAAAAAAGTAGGTGGCATTACTATTACCAATTATGTGCTGTATAATACTCAAATAAGCAGTGAATTAAAGTCTTTCTTCTTTTCTTTGTTGGTTTTTATTTTTTTGTCAGTCTTGCTCTGTTGCCCAGGCCGGAGTACAGTGGCATGATGAGAGCTCATTGCAGCCTCGAACTCCTGGGCTCAAACAATCCTCCTGTCTCAGCCTCTGAGTAGCTGGGACTACAGGCACAGAGCCACCATTCCCAGCTAAAGAAAAAAAAATTTTTTTTTGGCCGGGCACGGTGGCTCACGCCTGTAATCCCAGCACTGTGGGAGGCCGAGGTGGGCAGATCACAAGGTTAGGAGATCAAGACCATCCTGGCTAACACAGTGAAACCCCATCTCTACTAAAAATACAAAAATTAGCCAAGCGTAGTGGCGGGTGCCTGTAGTCCCAGCTACTCAGGAGGTTGAGTCAGGAGAATGGCGTGAACCCGGGAGATGGAGTGCAGTGAGCTGAGACCGTGCCACTGCTCTCCAGCCTGGGTGACAAAGTGAGACTCCATCTCAAAAAAAAAAAAAAAAGAAAAACATTTTTTGTAGAGGCAGGGCAGTGTCTGCCTGTGTTGCCTAACCTGGTCTTGAACTCCTGAGCTCAAGTGATCCTCCCACCTCAGTCTCCCAAAATGCTGGGATTATAGGCATGAGCCACTGTGTGTTCATAAGACTAGAACAAATACATGAATAGTAATAATTCTTTCCTCAATTCCACCTTCTATTAATAACAGTCACTGGCTGAGCGAGGTGACTCACACCTATAATCTCCGCACTTTGGGAGGCAGAGGTGGGCGGATCACCTGGGGTCAAGAGTTCGAGACCAGCCTGGCCAAGATGGTGAAACCCCAGCTCTACAAAAAATACAAAAATTAGCCAGGGATGGCAGTGTACACCTGTAATCCCAGCTACTTGGGAGGCTGAGGCAGGAGAATTGCTGGAACCCGGGAGGCGGAGGTTGCTGTGAGCCCAGCTACTCTGAAGGCTGAGGCATAAGAATCGCTTGAATCCGGGAGGCAGAGGTTGCAATGAGCTGAGATCATGCCATTGCACTCCAGCTTGGGGCAACAGAGTGAGATTTGGTCTCAACAAACCAACCAACAAACAAAAAATAATAGTCACTGATGAATCTTAGGGCCTATGCAACTTGATTTCAAAGATAAATATTTCTTAAACTCATTAAACGTAACTTATTAAAATTACTGACTATTTACTTACACTAAATAATTTTTTTTTGATGGATTATTGCTCTATTGCCCAGGCTGGAGTGCAGCAACACGATGCGCTCTCAGCTCACTGCAACCTCCGCCTCCCAGGTTCAAGTGATTCTCCTGCCTCAGCCTTCCAAGTAGCTGGGATTACAGGCGTGTGTCACCTCACCCGGCTAATTTCTGTATTTTTAGTAGAGGCGGGTTTTCACCATGTTGGTCAGGCTGGTCTGGAACTGCTGACCTCAGGTGATCCACCGGCCTTGGCCTCCCAAAGTACTAGGATTACAGGCGAGAGCCACCGCGCCCGCCTTTTACACTAAATAATTATTTAAACACGTGTACCACACAGTGACTTTGTGTCACTCTATGGCTCTAATTCAGAAAACAATGTCTTTTGTGTATATATACATACATGCATAATTACAACTCCAATAGAAGGCTCCTTGTTTCTGAAGTAACAACTAAGACATTTTCATCAAAGATATAATTGTATCTGGCTAAAAGGCATTTTCTCCTTTCCTACAGAATTGCTAAAGTAACATTGTTACTTATTCATCTTGAAAGGTTACATATCAACTTACATCAATTTAAAATTGGTTACACATTTGAAAACATAACAAAGAAATTTAGTGCTTAGTGAAAAGTACACTCTGAACCTCCTTTGAAACCATACCACAGCGCTTGGGGACAGTATTGAGTGAACACTTAAATTAGGAGATATTTTAAAATTATCATTAAAATAATACAAATAGGCCAGGCATGGTGGCTCACACCTTAATCCCAGCGTTTTGGGAGGCCGAGGCCGGTGGATCACGAGGTCAGGAGATCGAGTTCACCCTGGTTAACACGGTGAAACTCCTTCTCTACTAAAAACAAAACAAAACAAAAAAACAAAAAATTAGCCGGGCGTGGTGGCACGCACCTGTAGTCCCAGCTACTCCGGAGGCTGAGGCAGGAGAATCGCTTGAACCCGGGAGGCGGAGGTTGCAGTGAGCTGAGATCGCCACTGCACACCAGCCTGGGTGACAGAGCGAGACTGTCTTAAAAAAAAAAAAAAAAAAAATTACACAAATAATAACTTTACACAATACAGCTAAACGAAGAAAAAATTAAGTTCACTTATAAACACTTTGGTTTATATAATTTCAAACTTTTACATACACTTCTTTTTAACAAAAAAGAGGGATCATTATACTACTTTGCAATCTGCTTTTTTCAATGAATTATCTTTCCATGCTAATAAATATCCTTCTACAAGTAATCATATTTTAATGACTGTATGTCATTCCACCAAGTAAAAGAATCTTAATTCGTTGAATCCATAAGGTTGTTTGTAACTTTAACTTTTCACAGTAGGCGTTTAGTTTGTTTTTGAGATGGCGTTTCGCAGTCTCCTGAGCAGGAGAGCAGTGGCGCGATCTCGGCTCACTGCAACCTCTGCCTCCCGGGTTCAAGCGATTCTCCTGCCTCAGCCTCCCGAGTAGCTGGGACTACAGGCGCCCGCCACCACGCCTGGCTAATTTTTTGTATTTTCAGTAGAGACGGGGTTTCACCACGTTAGCCAGGATGGTCTCGATCTTCTAACCTCGCGATCCGCCCGCCCCGGCCTCCCAAAGTGCTGGGATTACAGGCGTGAGCCACCGCGTCCAGCCAACACAGTAGGCGTTTTAAAGCATTTTTATTACAGTAACATAAATCTGGCCTTGGCTTCGTCCTGTTTCTCTGAGGAATGTGGAAAGCGGGGCTTAGGCCCGTGGGCTCTTCAAAGACTGTCACCAGGTGGGGACTTCACTGTGTCAACTATGAACTATATACATGTTTAAAATAAATATAAATACACATTTAAAAATGATAAGCCCAAATTCTTTTAAAACTGAAGTCTCCACTTATAGTTCCTTATTTTCCTCACTCAGAGCTGGACGTTTCGCAGGGAAAACGCAGGCTTTTGTGAAAATTCTAAAGGTATAATCCTAAATTATTTTTGGTTTCCGCTCACGCCTCAAGTGAATAAGAATCACAGCCCCAAATAATAATAATAATAAAATGATGCTTCATGCCCCCCGTTCCATCCCACTAACTTCGTCCGCGTGTGAAAGGCTCAATTGGATGAACTTCCCCGCCCCCCACACCTTTAAGATAAAAACTACATTCACAGCGATTTCTGTTTTAACATAAAACTCTTGGAAGGGCCCCACCCAATCTGTCTGGCAGCTGCCCCCAAACATCTCCAAAGCCGCAAACTAGGCAAGCCTAAAGGACAACCTGGCCAACAGGAGAATCAAACCACACGGGGTACGTTTCACTCCCTTCAGTCCATGAAAGATGAAATTATCGCAATAAAATACTGGGGGGAAAAAAACCTCTTTTACCACAGATTTTGACACTTTTCCGGCTACAGAGTCACAGGAAAGTGGCAGTTAGTCGTTCTGCCCCACCATCCTCAAATTTCTTAGTGTCTAGAAAAGAAAATATCTCCTCAAGATCTTCCCGCCACGAAGCGGGAAGGTCAGACTCCCGTAGGCTCCGGAGCTGCAGCCCTGCCCACCAGGTGTCCCCGTGGCCTCTAGAATATTGTAGAATCTTCCCAAGAGCCCACGCGGGAAGGAGGCCCGCCCCCTCATGAATAGCAAGAAGCCTCAGCTCTCGTAGAGCCCGCCTCCCTCATGAATATTGTAGATCTTCCCAGGAGCCCTAGCGGGAAGTCGGCCCCCCACCGCCCCCTTATCAATAGCAAGAGAGCCAGCTCCCATAGTGCCCTTCTTCTCATGAATAATTAACAGAGCGAGGTTCCTGGAGCCCAAACTCAGGCCTCAGCCACCCTTCGCGCCAAGCTGAAGACAGGAAGGGGCTGGAGCCATTACGGTGTGGGGGAGGGGAGGGTGTAGCCCAAGATCTTGAACGCGGCGAGCCATGTTCCTGCTCCACTGCCTTTCCCTTCACCTAGTTTTGAGACAATTTTTGAGTCGCTCCCACCCCCACTAACCCCAGAAGGGCAAGTTACAAGGGGTTTCATCAAACCTTTTGATGGAAAAAAGCCTCCAGACATTCCTTTTTAAATCTGTCTTGCCGGTGCGGTGGCTCACGCCTGTAATCCCAACACTTTGGGAGGCCGAGGCGGGAGGCTCCCTTGAGTCCAGGAGTTCGAGACCAGCCTGGGCAACAGAGGGAGACCCCCCCCACACACACCCCTCTCCTGGTCTCTAAATAAGCACATAAATAATAAATCTGTCTGGAATCAAGGGAAGATGTCTGTCTCCAGCCTCTCAAGATGGAGTCAAGACAAATCTTTCTAGCTAGGCCCTCCTGGCTAGAAGATTAAATTCTCATTAATTTATTTCTTCATTCATTCTGTAACTATTTATTGAAGCCTGCTCTGGGCCAGGCACAGGAGTAGGCCCTAAGAATGGAACAGAGAACAAGACAGATAAGTTTCCTGCTTTAATGGAGTTTATTAGCGTAATGGGGAAGATAGAATGAACAGACAGAGCATCTACAGATGTTGAGAGCAGTGCCGGTGAGAGCAGCGTGACAGAGGAAATAAGACAGAATGATGGGGTGTGTGTGTGTTGGCGGAGAGCTACTTTAGATAGACTGATCCTCAAGGTCCCTTTGATGTGACAATTTGAGAACTAATGGAGGAGAAGGAGCCAGTCAGAAGGGCTGAGGGAAGAAGGAATGGGAGAAAGATTCTCCTACATTTGCAGATCAATTCTACGTTATACCCAACACAAAATATATAAGGAACTACTTAAAGACTGAGTGGAAATTTAGGATTAGTTGGCACGCTGTTATTTTGTATAGTCACAAATATTCATACGTTTTGGCTTTGTATCTTTTTTTCCCCTGACCTCAGGTGACCTGCCTACCTCAGCCCTGAAAAGTGCCGGGATTACAGGTATGAGCCACCACTCCCGAACTTTTATTTTTATTTTTATTTTTTTTGAGATAGAATCTTGCTCTGTCACCCAGGCTGGAGTACAGTGGCACGATTTCGGCTCACTGCAGCCTCTGCCTCCCGGGTTGAAGTGATTCTCCTGCCTCAGTCACCCAGTAGCTGGGACCACAAGTGCACACCACCATTGTATTTTTAGTAGAGATGGGGTTTCGTTGTCCAGGCTGGTCTCAAACTCAGAGGCTCGAGCGGTCTGCCTGCCTCCCAAAATGTTGGGATTAAAGGTGTGAGCCATCGGGCCCAGCCCTGGCTTTGTATCCTTTTGCAGCCAATTCTTTTTTTTTTTTTTCTTTTTTGAGATGGAGTCTGCCTCTGTTTCCCAGGCTGGAGTGCAGTGGTGCGATCTTGGCTCGCTGCAACCTCCACCTCCCAGATTCAAGTGATTCTCCTGCCTCAGCCTCCCAAGTAGTTGGAATTACAGGCACCCACCACCATGCCCAGCTAATTTTTTGTATTTTTTTTTTTTTTTTTTTTTTTGAGACGGAGTCTCGCTCTGTCGCCCAGGCTGGAGTGCAGTGGCACGATCTCGGCCCACTGCAAGCTCCACCTCCCGGGTTCACGCCATTCTCCCGCCTCAGCCTCCGAGTAGCTGGGACTACAGGCGCCCGCCACCACGCCCGGCTAGTTTTTTGTATTTTTAGTAGAGACGGGGTTTCACCATGTTAGCCAGGATGGTCTCGATCTCCTGACCTCGTGATCCACCCGCCTCGGCCTCCCAAAGTGCTGGGATTACAGGCTTGAGCCACCGCGCCCGGCCTATTTTTTGTATTTTTTAGTAGAGATAGGGTTTTACCATATTGGCCAGGCTGGTCTTGAACTCCTGACTTCAGGTGATCCACCCACCTCAGCCTGCCAAAGTGCTGGGATTACAGGCATGAGCCATCGCACCCAGCTGCAGCCAATTCTTTTTTTTATTCCCTGTCTCCAACATTGATTAGAGGTCCTTGACCAAATATCATCTCCTTGGCAGTGGGCCAGATGCACATAATGGAAGCAAGGATCCTGAGTGGTGAGTATTTACATTTTACTCAAAGTGTCATGGGGAAGTGTCATGGGAAGTCCTTGAAGAGTTTTAAGCAGAGAGTGCTATGATCTGATTTACATTACCAAAATATTGCTCTGGTTTTTATGTGGAGAATAAATGAGGCCAGGAGTGGAGGGTAAGATCTGTTAGGATGTTGCAGGACTAGAATGGTGGCTCTGAGGGATGGGTTTGAGATATATTTTGGTGGTAGAAGTAACTGAATTTACCTAATAGATTGGATAAGGGTGGAAGGAAGGGAAAGGAAGGAGATAGGAATAATTCCCAGGTTTCTGACTTCAATAAATGGGTAGAGGTTAATCCCATTTACTGAGATATGCAAGTGAGGAGTTTTTCTAGTGGAGTTTTGTCTTTCTTTTCTTTTCTTTTCTTTTTTTTGATGGAGTTTCGGTCTTGTTGCCCAGGCTGGAGTGCAATGGCTCCCTGCAATCTCTGCCTCTCAGGTTCAAGCGATTCTCCTGCCTCAGCCTCCCAAGTAGCTGGGATCACAGGCATGTGCCACCATGCCTGGCTAATTTTGTATTTTTACGAGAGACAGGGTTTCTCCATGTTGGTCAGGCTGGTCTCGAACTCCCGACCTCAGGTGATCTGCCCGCCTCTGCCTCTCAAAGTGCTGGGATGACAGGAGTGAGCCACCGTGCCCAGCCTTATGTTTGTTTTTCTTCTGTTTTCTTTTGGGAACAAGGTCTCACTCTGTTGCCCAGGCTGGAGTAGAATGGTGCGATCATAGTTTACTGTAACCTCGAACTCCTGGCCTCTAGCAACCCTCTCACCTCAGTGAAGTGCTGAGATTACAGGTGTGAGCTACCTTGCCTGGCCAACTAGTGGAGAATTAAGAGAATTCTAGTGGATAATTAATTTTCCAAGTGGTAAATTTGAGATTTCTCTGAGGCATCCAAGTGAAGATGTCATGTTAAGGAGGCAGTTGAATTTAAAAATCAGAGTGCTTTTGGAGGAAAATGTCTGGGCTGGAGATATACATTTAAGGATTAGAGGAATATAATTGTAAGCATTAGAGGAATATTGACACTCAGACATTGGGAAGAGGAGGGCAAGATCTCAAAGGAGGTTGAAAAGGAGTATCTAGCAAAGTGAACTGGAAAAAACCAGGAGAGTGTGGGGTCACAGAATCCTGAAGCAGGGGTGCTTCAAGAATGAGGAGTAGCCTTCTGTGACAAGTGCCACCTAGTTGAGCAAGGTGTCTGTTACATGAGCATTGCAGGTGTCTGCTGGATTTGGCAATCCAATTTAGGTACAAGCAGTAAAGGTCCACCTTGTCATATCCTATTTCAATAACCCATAGTAACTTTGCCTTGCCAGCCACCTCAAACTCAGATCTCTCTGCTATTTCATCAGCGTCCTCTATGGTCTATTGCTTACCTGTTCATTCATCCATTTGTTACATTCAATCCATGCCTATTTTCTGCCAGGTCCAGTGGTAGCTCAGGATAAATACAGTTTCGGCCTTCCAATGGCTCATGCTCAGAGCACCCAACTTGAATAAAATGTAATCCCTTCCTTCCCAAGGAAACAAACCTGCTACTCCAGCAGGGGCAGAGGAGGCGTCTCCTCCTTAGTAGATTTACCCCCTACCTCTTTGTGCTAAAACTCCCATTAAAAATGACCTCCCTCCTTTCTAAATCTCCCTCTGGGTTCCACTTTAAGATTCACACCCTGCATCCGTTAAGTATGCCTTCTCATCTAAGTGATGCTGTAAACCCCTTGAGATGCCTTATATCTCTTTTGTATTCTTCACATAGAAAAGAATGCCAGGTACAGAGATGGATCTACCATGAGGCTATGGAAACTTAAACATCAGGGTCCCCTTCTTGCTCAGGCCCCTTCCAAGTCTTTTCTTTCTTTTTTTTTCTTTTGAGACAGAGTCTTGCTCTGTCACCCAGGCTGGAGTGCAGTGGCACGATCTCGGCTCACTGCAACCTCCGTCTGCCAGGTTCAAGCGATTCTCCTGCCTCAGCCTCCCAAGTAGCTGGGACTACAGGCGCTCACCACCATGCCCTGCTAACTTTTATATTTTTATTAGAGATGGGGTTTCACCATATTGGCTAGGCTGGTCTTGAACTCCCGACCTCAGGTGATCTGCCCGCCTCAGCCTCCCAAAGTGTTGGGATTATAGGCGTGAGCTACCGTGCCCGGCTTTTTCTTTTTCTTTCTTTCTTTTCTTTTTTTTTTTTTTTTTTTTTTTTGAGACGGAGTCTTGCTCTGTCACCCAGGCTGGAGTGCAGTGGCCGGATCTCAGCTCACTGCAAGCTCCTCCTCTCGGGTTCACGCCATTCTCCTGCCTCAGCCTCCCGAGTAGCTGGGACTACAGGCACCCGCCACTTTGCCCGGCTAGTTTTTTTTGTATTTTTTAGTAGAGACGGGGTTTCACCGTATTAGCCAGGATGGTCTCGATCTCCTGACCTCGTGATCCGCCCGTCTCGGCCTCCCAAAGTGCTGGGATTACAGGCTTGAGCCACCGCGCCCAGCCTTCTTTTTCTTTTTAAAGTCTCACTCTGTCTCCCAGGCTTGAGTGAGTGCAGTGGTGCGATCTCGGCTCACTGCAACTTCCACCTCCTGGGCTCAGACGATTTGCCTTTCTCAGCTTCCCAAGTACCTGGGATTACAGGCATGCACCACCATGCCCAGCTAAGTTTTGTATTTTTATTTTTTATTTTTATTTTTGAGAGGGAGTCTCACTCTTGCCTAGGCTGGAATGCAGTGGCACGATCTCGGCTTACTGCAACCTCTGCCTCCCAGATTCAAGTGATTTTCCTGCCTCAGCCTCCCAAGTAGCTGGGATTACAGGCGCCCACAACCACGCCTGGCTAATTTTTGTATTTTTAGTAGAGACGGGGTTTTCACCATGCTGGTCAGGCTGGTCTTGAACTCCTGACCTCAGGTGATCCACCCGCCTCGGCCTCCCAAAGTGCTGGGATTACAAGCATGAGCTACCATGCCCAGCCTAAGTTTTGTATTTTTAGTAGAAACGGGGTTTCACCATGTTGGCCAGGCTGGTCTCGAACTCCTGGCCTCAGGTGATCCACTCGCTTCGGCCTCCCAAAGTGCTGGGATTACAAGCATGAGCCACCATGCCTGGCCCCAGAGCCACTGTGCCCAGCCCCGTAATTTTGTATTCATAAACAGCAGATGAAGATTGAAGAAACATTTGCTGATGGGCTCAGAATTAGCTAACTTCACGTATTTGTTGATTTGTTAAGCTTGTTTTATTAACAGGGATTTATGTTAGGGCTTTAGTTACTGATTATATCATTCCCTTGCCCCAAAGCTTTCAATGCCTCTGATTAAATGTAAGCTTGTCATTCAATGCCTGCCTCGATGTGGCTGCATTTTTAGGTCTCCAGCCTTATCTCCTTAAACTGAAGCCCCCATTATCACCCCTGGTGGCTTTGTTCATGCTGATTTCTCTGCTCAGAAAGGTGTCTCTTCCAACTCTACCTTTCCTTTTCTTTTCTTCTTTCTTTCTTTCTTTCTTTCTTTCTTTCTTTCTTTCTTTCTTTCTTTCTTTCTTTCTTTCTTTCTTTCTTTCTTTCTTTCTTTCTCCTGCCTTCCTTCCTGCCTTTCTTTCTTTCTCTTTCTTTCTTTCTTTCTTTCTTTCTTTCTTTCTTTCTTTCTTTCTTTCTTTCTTTCTTTCTTTCTTTCTTTCTTTCTTTCTTTCTTTCTTTCTTTCTTTCTTTCTTTCTTTCATAGATAGGATCTCCTTTTGTGCACAGGCTGGAGCACAGTGGCACAATCATGGCTCACTGCAACCCCAACCCCTCCTGGGCTCAAGCAATCCTACTGCCTCCCAAGTAGCTGAGACTACAGGTGTGTACCACCACATCCAGGTAATTTTTCTATTTTTTTTAGAGATGAAGTCTCTCTATGTTGCCCAGGGTGGTCTCAAACTGCCGGACTCAAGCGATCTGCCTGTCTTGTCCTCCCAAAGTGCTGGCATTATAGGCATGAGCTACCACTTCTTCCTGCTTTCACCTTTTCCCATCCTAAAATATCCTTCGGCATTTGCTTCTGAGAGAGAGTTTCCTGGACCAGCAACCTAACTGAGAGTTTGCTAGAAATGAAGACTCTCAGACACCACCTCAAAGCTAGTGAATGGGAATCTGCATTTGAATAAGATCCACAGTAAAGTTTGAGACATAGTGACTTAGGCCGTTTCACAGGCTACCTCCTTGAGGAATCCGAAATCTTTTAAAATCCCTGTAATGAGATAACGTTTTTCCTCTTTTGAACTCTTCATTCATTTTTTGCTGGTACTTCTCTCTGGGCACTTTATTTCACCTTGAATTGTGGTTATTTATGCACAAGACTTAGTTATCCTGTTAGGTTGTGAGGTCTTTGAAGGCAGTAACAGTGGAATCTCCACTGTGATGAATTAGTTGGCTTGGGAGCATACACACACACACACACACACACACACACACACACACACACACACACACACACACCCAAATCTAGGTGGTACTGATGTTTTAGTTGATCCTCAGAATTTTGCAAGGATTCAAATATAAACTGACTTTCAAATGTGAATGCCATGCATGGGCAAGATCTGTTGCAATTATTTTTACTTAATAAAACAAGCATACAACTATTATTTTATATCATGAAAGTCTTTAATATAATTTTCTTTTCTTTTCTTTTTTTTTGAGAGAGAGTTCCACTTTTGTTGCCCAGGCTGGAGTGCAATGGCCTGATCTCGGCTCACCGCAACCTCCACCTCCCGGGTTCAAGCGATTCTCCTGCCTTAGCCTCCTGAGTAGCTGGGTTTACAGGCATGCGCCACCATACCTGGCTAATTTTGTATTTTTAGTAGAGATGGGATTTCTCCATGTTGGTCAGGCTGGTCTCAGACTCCCGACCTCAGGTGATCCACCTGCCTCAGCCTCCCAAAATGCTGGGATTACAGGTGTGAGCCACCGAGCCTGACTAATAGCATTTTCTTTACCTTTGTCTGGTGCTGTGTGATAAAATTATATCTTCATCTGTAAATTGCAGAGTAGGAAGAGAGCTAGTCTAAATTATTTAAAAACAGCTGGTTACCTGTAACATTCTATAAAAACTCCAGGGAGGCTGGGCACGGTGACTCATGCCTGTAATTCCAGCACTTTGGGAGGCCAAGGCGGGTGGATCACTTGAGGGTCAGGAGTTTGAGACCAGCCTGGCGAACATGATGAAATGCTGTCTGTACTGAAAATACAAAAATTAGCCAGGTGTAGTG